CCCCAAAACCCCAAAACCCCGTTCATTGGGATATAGTTAGAAAATTTTGAATTAAAAAAAGAAATAAACTCTTTCAATCTATAATGGTAATGTTTATGTTTCCATTTTGATATTGGAAAATTACTAAATCATAATAATCAGAGTAACTAACTGTCAATATAGAAAACAGGAGAGCACACGACCAAGAGTTAAGATATAAACAGTGGGAAATCGCACCATAAGCGAGGTGCTAGTGGTTTAAACAAAGTTGCAGCAATTGAAAAAGCTGATATTCCTTAAGAACCTGCCACAGCCACCTATAAAAAGAAAGGTAGTTTCGCTTCAGAGGAGGAGAAACTCACTGTAAGTCATAATTTTATACTGCTTCAGGAATCTAAGCAATAAATAGGCGAAATTAAGGAAAAATAAGGATAAGGATGCGCATTCCACCAGGGGCGGAGAGACCAAGGAAAAAACCAAGGGAAGTTCAACTCTCAATAACCCTATTGAAAAAACTACTGCGTTTGGCAAGTAAAAATTCGTCAAAAAGATTATTGTCGGTAAATATATTCAAGTTGCTTACTTAACATGTTGATAGATATGGAGAATGGAGAAGTGAAGAGTTTGGAGGAGGCCTTGGAATTAGCTGAGGAGGGAACTATAATAAAACTATGCGAAGGAGTTTACACTTGTAACGTGAAAATTACAAAACCAGGTATTAAAATAGAACCTAGAGACAAAGATAAGCCTGTATATCTGCTCGGAAACGATGGGCCTGTCATCAAGATTGATCTAAAAGAAAAGGAATAGTTCGTAGTTATTAAGAAAATTCTATTAGCACATAGTGGAATTAACATCGTTGCTAAGTTTAAGGAAGTCCAATTAGCTGGAATTGTAAATGATGAAAGTATGGCTAGAAAAGCTAATGTTAAATATTTATCTGAATACGACATATAAAAGGATATGAACACTGTAATTATGGTTTCAAGAGGTGGATTGATTCTTCGTAATTGCCTTATCTCTCTAAGATCGTTGCCTAAGAATTTGAACTCTAAGATTCCTTGTCTAGTGGCTTTGCCAAATTCTAGAGTAAATATAGTAAATTGCGAATTCATGGGTAATGACAACAATATGACTACTGGATGTATAATGGTCAAGGCAGATACAGTTATGAGTTCATGCAGATTTACTAACTTTAAATCAGGCGCTATATATTCTGTAGCTGAAAGTGGGTCTCAGGTTGTTATATAAGATTGTGAAATAACTAAAGGTGGCAATGTTGGTATATATTGTTAAGGAAATGATGCTAAATAATACATCCTTCGTACGAAAATAGACTACATTGATGGAATTGGCATCAGAGTACATAGAGGAAACAGAGCTAAAATAAAGGGTTGCGAAATTATGAAATGCTAAGTAGGTATTGAGGTGTTATCAGCAGACCCACTAATTTTAATGAATACTATAAGGTAAAATTTTGAGAACGGAATAATAACCATAGCAAAAAATTTCGTAAGATGTGATGGCGTAATCAAGTATAATGTGATAGAAAAAAATAAAGATAATGGCATAGTGTGTGCTGGCAGAGAGAATTACACTCGTATTGAGAAGAATCAGTCAATTTCATCTAATCGTAGATCTGGCATTAAAGCGCTTGAAGGAGCCTCGATAACTATAATAAAGAATAAAATAAACAGCAATTTCGCTTAGGGCATTCTGTTGGTTGAAGGAACGAGTGCGCATATAGAATCGAATGAAATTTTCACGAACTTCAAAGCAAATATAGCCTTTGGAGGAGATAACTCCAGTGACACAGTCATCTATAACAATAAGATATACTCATCGAGAAGTGAAGGCATATTCGTGATTGAAAGTGGCTACAGTTGGATTAAAAATAACCAGATTTATGATAATAATGACGGCATAATCATGTTTGATAGTTCTCCTCACATAACTGAGAATAATATAAATGAAAACTAGAGGGCAGGATGCATTGTGAGTGGAAGCAGTTTCCCCAGAATAGAGAAAAATAGCATATTTGGAAACTCAACCAGTGGTGTTATCATAAGAGATAATAGTACTGCTTTAATTCTAAACAATAAAGTAAGAAATCATCTACTTTTAATAGTTATATATAGATCTTCAGTAACTACTACTAAGTGTCTACCAGATAGATGAAGAAAGATAAGCTAAATCATATTGTAGAAGATAACGAGATAGATGGATAAAATGAATTCACTAATAACTGTCGTATTTTTTGAATAATCTTATAAATGTTTCCTAATCCTGCACCTTCTCTTTTCCAAATTCACTATTTTAATCTCTCAAGGGGTTTTGGGGTTTTGGGGTTTTGGGGTTTTGGGG